GTAACGAGTCACTCGGTCTGCAAAGCGGGGAGCCTCTTTGGGCAGGGTCTGCTATGTTTCCCCGCGGAGGACATGGCCTTTTTGCAGAGAAATACACCTCAGTCTCAGCCCTTGCCTGCTGTCACTCCTGTCCCTGCCTGCCTTCTGCACTGGGTTTCAGCCTCTTGCTCGGTGTCCCAAGCAGCTCCTTGTCTCATCTTCTCAACTCTCAGTGCAATAGAAACATCCCCAGAACTACAGCTTTCGGTTAAAGTGACTCTTACAGTGCAGAGTAAAGACAGGGGGAAGGATTTGCTATTTTGCTGTGGCTCTCTGTAGAGTTATACCGCTTTCTTGGTTTACCAAAAATGGAAGTTGCTGCGCCATACACTGGAGTGGCATCACTCTTTCTCTTTCCTCCTTCTCCCTTCCTCTCTTTCTTTCCCCTTCCCATCACTTCCTCTCTCCCTTCTCTCCTTCCTTCCTCCCTTCACCCTCCTTCCCTGCCCCCTTTCCTTCTTCTCCTTTTTCCTCTTCTCCTTTCCCCACTTCCTTCCTCCCTCCCTGTCATCTTTCCTTTTTTCCTTTCCTCCCTCTCTTCCTTCTTTCTTTTATTCTTTCCTTCCAGCTTCCCTCCTTTTCCCTCTCTCCACTCCTTTTCGCTATGCAGCACTCATTAGAGCTAATCGAGCACCTACTATGTGCCATCCACATTAAGCCTTGTAAAGATAAAGATACAGGAGGAGCAAGCTGTTCTGATATTAAACTTTCTTTTTAGTTTTTGTTTCAACTCCCACCAAAGCCCTACCATCCATGCAGACACTGATGTTTATTAGATGTGTGGCACTTTCACAGAGATTTTTTTTTAACTCTATCATCCAAGCACAGATAAGTATTCTTACCTTCTCTATAAACCTGATGATTGATTTAGGCTGAAAGGGTTAAAATTTCCAATTCAGAGGTATTCAGTGCATGTGAGGAGCATCAGGAATTTATCTGTTGTTTTTTTTTTTTACTCCAAGTTCAGAGCCATTTCCTGCTGTGCAAGGATACAGACTTGGAAGGACCCTTCCTGCACTTTCACACTTTCACCTTTTTCTTTGTACTACATAAATACTTGTATGCAATGAGATGTGAATTGTATTAAAAGAGTCTGAATAATTTAAACACAAATACTTGCATTTGGCAATATTGTTCAGAATGTTTAGAGGCATGTATATTTTTTCATGTATAAGAAATTGGTAACCATTTTGGTGCTATCTGTAGAAAGCAAGGTGGATAGCCAGAAGCTGACTCTCAGGAGATCAGTAGATATACAAACAAGAATAAGGGATTGTGCATGGTCTGAAAACATGTCTCTTCTGGAGCCTGTTACAGAAAACACACAGCAAGCAAGAACCCTCAGTGCTCAGGTGATGATCAACATCACTCTTTCAATCTGATTTTTTTAATTTGAGAACTTTAAGATTACAAAATGTAGAGAAAATATTCTAATAAATATCCACGTACCCATTACCAAGAAATCAAAACTGTTTATCATGTTTATTTCAGGATTAAGAATTAAAATGTTTCATAAGGTCAAAATCTTTTTATATTTTACTTCTGATCCATTTCCTTCCATCACCATTCTGGTGCCCACCATTAGAGATCTGAGTATCAACCCACTATTTATACATTGTGAACACTTGTCTTCATAAACAATTTACAGTGTTTTATGTGTTCATTATGAAATACACATAAATGTCATACTGCTTATATCATTCTGCAACTTTTTAAAACAGCATTGCTGTTTTAAAAATCTATTCCATTCCTTTTAGTAGTTATACAGCATTTTATCAAATGCCATCTTATTCCTGTTGAGGGATATGAAGATGGCTACAAATGTTTATAAGTTATTTCAACATTTCCCCAGAAGTGGTATAGCTGGGTGATTACTAGGTGCATGTTTAATGTTGCATTGTGATGAATTACTCCCCAGATGGTCATAACAAATTATGTGCTGTATGTTTGATTACTTGATTCTCTACACTCTGCTTAATACTGCATATTGCCAGGTTTTAAAGTCTTTGCTAACGTGATATATAAGCAAGACTATCTTCTTGTTTATCCTTGCATTTCCCTAATTTACTGGTTTAGCATCTGTTCATGTTTGTTGGCTGATGTGTGTGTGCTTATTTATGTGATTTGCCCTTTTTTCTACTGGAATATTTGTGGGTTTCTTTCTTATCAACTTATAACACTAATTTTGTGGCTATGAATCATTTAGGTACTATTTAATTGCTGCAGATATCTTTCTCTTTAACCATTGTTTATTGTTTATCACTTTTTTAGAACGGATTACTAAGTTAGTTTCTAATGTGTGAAGAGCTTTATTCTTCATCCAGTGCAGAATGGTACACATAGTCTCTGCAATTAAACAAACAATTGTCAGTAGCTTCTGCAGAGCTAAGGAAAAATTTGTCTGCTAAGGCCTTTACACTTCTTTCCCAAACCTGGAAAGTAGCCCCCTCTTGGTATCTTGGGACTAGACATGGTCTACATGTCATTTTATCTCACTAAAGCTATTCCATACGTAGGTGGGCAAAACAGGATCAATGGACTTTACAAGCCAGTAGTTCATCAAAATCTATTCTTATGAAGCCTCAATGTAGATTAGAGGTAGTTTCATTGTGTGGAATTCATCATTTAGTGATCATTATTTAGGCAGCTCAGCGTTAAAAGTTTAACTTTGATGACACTGAGTTGTTCTACTTCTTCCCTCCTTACTCAGAGCAGTTTTCAATTATTCTTCAAGAGTTCTAAGGAGATTTTACTCTTTTGCCTTCTTCTTTATTGGACAGTGGTTGGTATGTGTGATTGAAAGCTCTGGAAACACAAGTATGAAGCAAGAAAAAAACTTGAATGTCTATATAAATATTTACAAACGTACTTGACTATAAACTCTGGGAGGTGAGGGCCTGCGCTTGCCATGTCACAGTGGTTATATCCTTAGTCCTTGGCTCAGTTGATAATCCCAGTTAGTGGGAATATGCTAAACATCCCCAACCCATACAAATTTATTTCTGTGTTAGACACTCTGTATTGTGTGCACTTCATGTAATCAAAGTGACCAAGATAGGCAAAGTCCCTGCCCTTATGAAGTTTGCGTTTTGGTGGCAGGAAATATTTTTATGGCAGGAAGACATAAATGATAATGAAGAAAAATGGTGCCCTGGGTTGGGGAGGAGGTATTGCTGCTGCAGAGAGCATAGTCGCACGGACTTCTTGAGACAGTCACGTTGGTGATCAACATTTACTAGGTAGCAATAATACCACTCCAATATCCAGGCTTCGGAACCAAGCATTTCTATTTCAGGAGGTCAACTCAGCTTTCTGGATTTTATTTGGGGCAGTTTATTAGAGTCTTGAAAAGATGTAGTGAAAGCATTGACTTCAGACTAGAAAGAGTTAATGAATGGGTGAAATGTGCTCTTTTCTATGAGGGAAAAAAACTGGATTCCTACAGCTTGGTGTCTTGGGATGAATTCTTAACTGCCGGAGCATATCGCACGTTCTCCACTACCCCGCGGTCCAGGAGCCACTTGTCTAGAGCAGCTCTTTAAGCCTTGGAATGTTTCTATTCTGCAGGCAGCTAGAAAAGAGTATAATTTAAGAAAAATTATTAAGAAGCCTGTAAAGTGCACAACTGAGTCCATATCACAGAAACTGTCATTTGTACAAAGCATTCAGACAATCAAGATTCTGTAGACATTAACTTAACGTAAACTTCCTTCTTGCTTCATTTATTTTGAAAACTCAAGTTCCTAACACTATCTGGTAGGTGCTCAGTATCATTCTTGCTCCTTCCCCCTAATGCCTTACTGAAGACCAAAAGATTATACTGTTTTCTGGTTTGATTTGGTTTTCCCAGCCAAGAATTTAAGTCACGGATGTTTCATAAGCATCTTCTGATGAACTTCATTGTTCGATTTATTTTTGCTTTAGGCGATACAGACACCTTCAGATTTCCTTCTGCAACAAAGTCTTCATTTAAGTTGGCGGATGGGTGTACTCTAGTGAGTCCCCAGACCCGGGGGATTTTGGCAGGGACTGTTAACTTTGACACACAATGTTTTCGGCCTCTCAGAAGAACCAATCTCCAAACTTAGACACCAAATAAATACGCTCGCTTACCTTTGGAAAAGGTATTTACACCTTTGTTATACTATATTCCCCTTTGTCCGTCCGTTTGTTAAGAAGGACCACAAAAAGTGGCATCGTTTTTCACTTTTGTCTTATCTGGGTCTCTACACGTTTTTGTTTCCTGACTTACAGGAAACCCTCTCGCCTCGAGGTTGCTCCCTCCCTTCTTAGGGTCCTTCAGAAATGGAAACCTTGACTGCTGAGGGTCTTTCGGCTTTGCTCTCCCTCTGTTCTCCCCCTCCGAGCACTCACACACAGGGGCCGGCATCTGTGCAGCGGCGCAGAGAGCAGGGTGTCACGCTGGCGACGGCTCTGCCCGCGGCCGGGGCGCAGGGTCAGCGCCCTCCAAGCTGGGGCTCGGCCAGAGCCGCCGAGCACCGGGGCCCGCTCGACCCGGGCGTCCCGCGGTCCTGTTCCCTCCCCGGGTTAAGAATCGCCTCATCTGTCCCAGTCCTAGGGGCACCCTGCTCTTTGCAGCGCAGCCTTCGCTACAGAGCTTGGAGCTGAGGCAGGCGAAGCGACGCCGGCGAGGGGAAAAGCCCAGAGCTGGGGCGGAGGAGGAGTGAGGGCCGGCCGCCGGGGGGGATTTCCTCCGCGCTTCCCTCTCCAACGGTAGCGGAAAATGTGATTTGCTGTGCATTCCAGGCGCGGTTCCCTGGGGTGACCTCTCCCAGCAGGCCGGGCGGGGGGAGCAGACAAAGAGGCGAGCGGGCGGAGAGGGGACCCCGCAGGGCAGCAGGCGGGGGCGGGGGCGGGGGCAGTACCGGGAAAGGGGGCGGATAACGGGTCCGCCGGCGGCGGCGGCGCCTGGCCAATGGAGAGGCGCGGCCCCGGGCGCCGCGCTTGGCCGCCGACATTTAAACGCGGGACGGCGCGATGCCCGGCACTCGGTGCGCCCTTCGCGGACCGGGCGGCCCCGTGCACAGCGGTAGCTTCGCCTTCAGTCGCCTGACCCCGGCCGAGCCGGAGCGGCTCTGGCCGCGGCCTCACGCAGCGCCCCGCGGCGAGAGCGCAGCCCCGAAGACCCACCTCGCTGACAGGTGAGCTCGGGGCCGAGCGCGTGTGCGTGTGAGCGTGTCTGCGTGCAAGGGCTGCAGACGTTCGCCGCGTCCCTCTCGACGTAGACGCGCGGCACATCCCGGTGTGCAAAGGTCCTGTGGTTTCCTGGGCTGAACCCGAAGGACCATTGGGGCGTCATTTCTCGCTCGGTCGCGGACATGGTAACCTCGCTGCGCTGGGTCTGCTGAGAAGTGGGTAGGGAAGGGGAGTTTCAAAGGCAGGCAGGACCTGGCATCCCCTTTCCAGTTCTTGGAGCCCTGCCATGTCCACGCTTCTGGTGCTCGGGCCGCAGAGCATGCCAGACTCGCCCGCCCCTGAGAGCGCACGGCCCGGGTGAGTCCGCGGACAGCGAGCGGGAGCTGCGGGGACTGACCACGGGGCCGCAGGCGCGCAGCCCGCCGCCCAGAGAGGAGCTCAGAACCCGCAGGCGCTGCGCTGGGGCTGGGACGTGTAGGGCGGCCCGTCGGATACGCGTGGAGTGATCCACGCGCCCGCACGTAGGACCGTCCGGAGAATCGATGGCGTGTGTACTTGCCAGCCCGCGAGGTGAGGGTGGCACTCTGGGAAAAGTGGACTGGAGAGAGCAGAGCCGCCGGGGTCCACCGCGGCGGGGCCAACGGGTCTCGGTCCGAGGCTGGAGCGCGGTGCGGGGTCCTGGCGCAGGGCCCAGCGAGCTGCAGTGCTCGCGGTGCGCTGCTCGCCTCACAGACTCGAGCGCTGGCTGCACTCGTACGCGCTCAGTGCCGGTTCCCAGACTCTCGGATCCCACGCACGCCTGGGCTGAACTGCAGACGAGCAGGCGCCGGGCAGCGACTGGCTGGTTCCCACTTCCCGCGGGTGCCCTTTAATCTGTATCCTCGAGGCACCAGCCTCGCCTCGCTGCCTCTCTCTCGCCACCGAAGACCGTGGGCGTGCTGCAGGAGGCCAGTCCCTTGCTCTACTGCGCTGGGCGTCCTGTCCTTATTTCTTGCCCGCCGCCCGCGTCATTCCAGTGACCCCTCTGTAGTTTGCAGAGCAAAATAGGGGAGAGGGTCGACTGGCTGTCATCTCCCTGGTCCTAGTTATTTTTAGACTTTGGGTTTAGGAAGAACAGAAGCACCACAGCTCTTTTTTGCCATTGCCTTCAGACCCTGGTTTCGCCTTGGAAGCGCCCCTGCTTGGCTTTTCTGGGTTCCAGGCCGGCTGAGCGCTGCAGGTGACCAGCTTCTGCTGCTGACCCTTTCCCGCGCGCTTGGGACCGCTCGCGGTCTGATCAAGCTCCCATCTTCCCCTCCTCTGCCGAGTCCAAATCCGGGGTTTTTAGGATAGAAATATAACCTCAAAGCTTGGGGTTAAAAATCTCCTCTAAAATGGTCTGAGGGCAGAGAGGCGACCATGGGTAGGTAATTGGATCTCTTGCTGGAAAGAGTAAATCCTCGCGGTGTGCCGTCTGTTTATGTTCCCTTGAGATGGTGCCAGGACACGAACTGATTAAAACAATCTATTGTGTTCAGTGGGTCACTGGGGCTTTAAACTGTCCCGGGGATCTCTGAGTAGTGGCTTCCTTCTGGCTATACACACAAGTTAAATAAATAGCGTAGAAAAGGTTAAGATAACCCCATCCCAGGGTGAGAGTCTTCTTTCACCCCTAGGGCTTACCCCTTTCCTTTGCTTTCCTTTTCTTTTCTTTTTTTTTTTGAAAGGCAGGGGACAGGAGGGACTTGAGGGGACGGACTTTTTAAAACAACAAACTGGGAAAGATCTTAAGAAAACTAGTTTCTCCTCCACCCACTGCTTCACAGCCAAATCTGCAAATGTAGTGCTCTGATTACTATCACTTGATAAATTGCACTGTTGCATTGTTAGTGTTAACTAATTATTTAAGGGTTCTTTAGTGGCTGTTCTACCAGTGTGTGTGTGTGTGTGTACACGTGCATTTTCGTGTGTTTAACCCCCAGGTCAGTATAGGAATTAGAATCTTTTGCAAACTGTAATTTCACAGGTTTCCTATGTTTTTAAAAGTTCATTCTGAGTGAAATGTTTTGTTAACCCACAAGCTGTAGGAAATCCTGGCTGGCTAATGTAGTCTTTATATGAGTGCTTACACAGGAAGAATAGAAACGGGTTATGTCTCCACATCTCTGAATGAGATCTCGTCTTGTTCTTCTAAACTCCAGCCAGCCGTCTCAGTCTGAACGGTCAAGTATGGAAAGTGACAAAATGCAAAGAGACCCACAGACATCTCCCTCCTGAGAAATGCTTGCTGACAGCCAGACTGTGGAGGCTGTTCTAGAATGGGGAGTACAGACAGTAAACTAACCCTAAAGATTTAAGGAAAGGAGGGGATGTCTATCCGAGAGGCACCGAGTGCTGCCAGCCCAGTTCTTCCATCTGCAAGGAATTCCCTTTAGTTTAACATGTGCCTTTAGAAATGCAAAATACAACAGAAATATCTGGGAGAAGAGAAGTCTTTTTCTTCACTGTAAACATGAAGATATAAAACATAATTATTTGATTTATAGTATGCTTCCAATTTTATTGCATTAGAAAACAAATCCATGTGTCCCCTAAGTACTGTGCTGGGTGTCGGGGAACAGTGGCTAAGGACATTGCTGGGCTCTTCCTAGAACTGCACTCAAATCATGGCTGTCCCACTTACCAGCCTATGACCTTGGATGGATTCCTGATTGATGAAAATAGAGCATATTATCTACCTCATATGCTGTTGTGAAAAATAAAGGATAAGCTTTGAACAGAATTTAGCATATTGCCTGGCATAGTGAGGGTTTAAAAATAAAAGGTAATTCTTACTGGTGGTGGTGTTGGGTGGAGGAGTCATATTATACAGCACCGGAACGTCACAGAGTGACTGTGAATTTAATCCTGAATGCCACTTACACAGTGACTGCCACACCTTGCTCTACAACACACAGCCTGTAATGTAGCTGTCTCTCAGCAGTGCTAAGTGAATATTTAATATTTATTACTTCCTAACTCATTTCCTGTTGACCTCAAGAATTGCATGCGATCATTATCTCCACTAAAAAATTCTCCTAGTGCTCTTAGAGCTCCTAAGACCACTAGGTGGTCTCTTCCCTGCCCCATGTCCATTGAGCCCCAACCTACTTTAGCCTAAATGATCTTCATCATAGGGGGCTTGAAGCAAGGCATGGGGGATGAGGTATACCTGCAATCCCAGCACTCTGGAGGCTGAGTCAGAAGGAGCACAAATTCTAGCCCACCCTGGACAACTTAGCGAGACCTTGTCTCAAAATAAAAAATAGTCTGGGGATATAACTCAGTGTGAAGGCCTAGAGTTCAATCCCCAGTTTTCAGAGAGAAAACAAATGTGGTTAAAGACTTACAATTTGTGGGGAATGAGATTTTATCATCTTACAGCTTGCCAATCACTACTTCTTGTCTCCTTCGTGCAACTTGTCTGGGGAAAAAAATAACCCTTATTTTATTCTCAAGAAATTCTCTACTTAATTTCTAAAAGTTGCTTACTTTTCAAAATTATAGATCAAATTAAAAATAGCCTTTGGTTTTCCTAAAGATTCAGTCCTGAGAAAAAGGACTAGCTTGTGCTAAAACCTAGCCTGCTCATAGAACATTTGCAGCCAATTCTATCATGTTTTATGCTGGGGGAGTAATTTGATGTTATGTGTGATGACTGTCTTCCTAAACTGGATTCAGTATGAGGACTTGACCAGAAGTTCAGGCACAGCCATCTGGCCTTCACTGTAATTCTTATTCAAAACTTCACTTAACTGGTGATGAGCAGGTTGCTTGACTAAAACAATACAAGGAGAAGATTGCTAAAAGGAGTCAAGCTTTCTCCAAGACATCAAGAACATCAGAAACAGGTCACGCGTAGCATGTTTATTTCTAAATCCCCAGAACAAGAAGACTGTGTTCTCAGAGCCCTTGTCAGGAGAGGGATAAATTGCCTTGACCTGCGTGGGGTGGAGATGGTTGATATAGCTTACCTTGCTTGCAGGTGCTTAGTGTTGATTACTAAGGAACGTTGAAATCAAAGCATGAGGCAGGGAAGACGTGCTTTAAGAGTATATTCTCTAATACAGTGGATTGGAGAGGAGGGTGGGAAAAAAAAGTGGGGGTAGAATGAGGTTTGCTGGTACAGAAAATTGCAGAGAAAGCTCACCATGAAAATACTATTGTATTACTTGGAGAAACAGAAATGCATTAAGGGGTTGTCAAGGTAGGGTTTAGAATGGAGAATAACATTGTCTGCAAAGGAGAACTGAGGGAAATGTCTGCGGGGTGTCATGATGTACTCTGGGTTCGTGAGATACAGCTTTAGTTTAATGGTGTGAATATGGCATTTAATAAATGGAAATTACTGTAAAGATTTTGCAGCTGATGGTTGGACCTGGGCGGTAATTCACAGGAGCCTAACTCTGGATCAGCGTTTGTGTTAATTTGTGATTATGCAGCCTCCTTCCAGGTATTGAAGTGGAAAAATAATTGTCCTTCAGTAATTTGCATCTTTCGATTTCCTGCACATTTATGATACTTAGAAAGTGCGAATTAGGGCTGGGGATATAGCTCAGTGGCACAGCAAGTTAGCCTGGCAAATGCAATGTCCTGAATTCAATTCCTGGTGCCAAAAAAGTGCAAATCATTTGATAGCCAATGCAGTTGTGATTTCAAGAGCAAAACGTCCCTATTTCTTTCACTGAGTAATGAAGACTGGCGGTGGAGAGGACTGGTTGATGCCCACAGTGAGGTGACGGAGCCTGATTCCGGGACTAATTATAATTCTCAGCCCTTTGTTCTTACTCAGGGAGCACACCCAGACACGTGCTGGGTACTCTACAGGAGGAAGAGCAAGGCTGTTCTCTAAGAAGCTGAGGTCTCTGTTGCTTGATGTCCGTGAAGCTGTTTTTTACTTTCCTCTGAATAACTCAAGTACTCAAATGCCTTCTGATGAGCACTAAAGACTTTTAAAGAATAGGCTTTAAAAATACAAAAAATCCATCTTTCACACTTAATAAATCTTAGTTTGAGAAAAAAACTACTTAAAAAGAACAATCTGTCATACTAGATCCCGTTTGCTTATAGGGTATACATGCTCCCATATGAACAGGATGTTTGTCTAAATTAAAGCTGAAAACCACAGTTCCTTAATTTTGAATTAACTGCTTTGTTGTTGTTAGTTTCTGCCATAATGTATCCAGTGGCTTCAATTAGAAAATAAAGCCCACAGTATCCTATATTGAACTAGGTAATAAGTTGGAAATATCAGGAATCTTTCTAGAGAAAGATAGACAAATGTTAGGGAGCTCTGTAGGCTAGGAAAAGTTTGCCACACTGAGGCTTAGAAACAAAAAGAACTGCAAATAACTCTTCCATGAGAGCATCATAAAAAGAACAGAAAGTATGTAAAATCTGTGTCATCCACAGTAATCATTTGACAAATTTTAATGAGCATCTACTCTATGCCAGGCACTAACAGGAAGATGATGAATAAGCCCTCACCAACTCTCAAGACTAGATAGTTATTAAATAACAGATGTAGAAATGCTACAAAAGTAGAGGTTGAAGATAAAAAGGCTACTAAGTTGTTCCTGAAAAATAAAATTACATTTTTGGATAGACGTTTGTGGAAGGGGATGGCCTTATCCAGTGAAACGAGCTGGTCATATGTTGTCCATGTATGTCCCCAGGCAGTCTCACGAAGCCTCAGTGAAGTGGACCCTGAGAGTCTTGTTTGGGGGGCAGGGACCTGGCCTGTGGGTCAGTTCAGTGGGTGTGGAAAAACACTGTGGGAGTAGTTCTAGGGCCATCTGATGTGCTCCTTCTTTGAAACGGGCAGTGAGTGAGGGTCATTTTGGATCTTGGTCCTGAATTGAATAAATAGCAGAAACTTGTGAAAGCATCTCATATTCACAGTATATGTGCCCAGGAGACTGAAGAGTCATGGCTCAAGTTATTCTGGCCTTTGGAGAAAATGAGTTGTTTTATAACAGGACTTTTCTCATTAGTGATTTTAAAAAGACAAAACAAAGGAAGAATTTGTTGTTGTGGCCAAACGGGCTCTGATGAAAGAACAGCGATGTTGTGGCATACACTGAGGAAAGCCAGGGAACCTACAGCTGGATCAGGAGCTAAGTGTCATGTTATCAGATCCAACTTGGACTTGCCCCCAAATGTCAGGTTAATGTTGGAGGGATGACGACCGTTCAGTTTAATGTTAGCCTTAAGGCTGAATGGCTGTTACTTACCAGAGCCTGTCCATTAGAGAATGTAGGTTGTAATGGCTTTTGTGTTTGCAGGATAATTGTTCTAGATAATCACACCAATTTGTCCAGGTTCTTGAGGAGGAATTATAAAATTAACACTCGTGTTCAGAAGGGAACACATAAAATGAGTACTTCTTTTTTTTTTGGTATCAGGAATTGAACTCAGGACCTTGCATTTGCCAGGCAGGCACTTGTGCCACTGAGCTATATCCCCAGACCAAAATGAGTGCTTCAACTGTGTTCTATGTCCAGAAAACCATAGGAATGGGGCAGAGGAAGCCTCAACAATCAGGTCAGATGGTCCTGATGGCCCAGGGAGGGAGACTGTAAATTTGAAACAGCACTCATTAAGAAGAAAACCCTTCCATGTTTTAATAATTCTCCTTATGCCTCGTAGCTGCAACACCACAGGCTTTGCTGTTCAGAGCTGGCTTACGGCACCCTGCATGCTTATAGCATCCTGGATGACTGTCTGACTGTCAGTCCTTGGAAGACCACACAGGAGAATCATCTTGCACACTCCTTCTAAAAATGCTCTTTGGAGCTGGGAATTTAGCTCAGCGGCACAGCGCCTGCCTGGCAAGTGCAAGGTCATGAGTTTGATTCCCGGTACCAGAAAAAAACCAAAAAAAGAGAAAAAAACCCAAAACTTTATATAAATAAATAAAATAAAATAAAATTTAAAGCCGGGCATGGTGGTGCATGCCTGTAATCCTAGCACTCGGGAGGCTGAGGCAGGAGGATCGTTGTGAGTTCGAGACCAGCCTGGGCTACAAAGTGAGCTCAAGGCCAGCCTGAACTGCATAGTGAGACCCTGTCTCAAAAAGACAATAAATAAATAAATAAATAAAAATGCTCTTTGCTGTTCCTCCTCGTCCTTTTATCCTGCTGTGTCTGCCCTACCCACCCTAAACACCCTAGCTTTGATTGGCTTTCTTCACTCCATTCAGTTTTCCCCCTTTCTATCCATGCTTAGCTGGTTTTTGTCAATATTTCCTCTCCCTTATTGATGTATTTATTATTAATTTTTGTCTTTCTTCATCTGATCTTGCCCTTCCTGACCCATATCTAGCTCGAGACCCACTCAAAATAATTTATTATTGTTAATGTATTCAACATACCTATGGCATTTATTAGTGTAAATATTTACACATACTTATTGTATGAGCTCATTTGTTTACTTGTTCTTTTTTCTTTTCTTTTCTTTCCTTTTTTCTTTATTTTCTTTCTTTCTTTTTTTTTTTTTTTTTTTTTTTTTTTTTTTTTTTTTTTTTTTTTTGGAGGTGGGATCTCTGTTGCCTGAGCTGGTTTTGAACTCCTGAGGTTAAACCATCCTTCTGCCTTAGCCTCCCTAGTGCTGGGACCACAGACAATTTTAAAATTTTATGTATACATATACACACACACATCACAAAGGTGAATGATACATCATCACTTAAAAAGTAGAAAAGCCTATAGTATGGTTTAAAGAATGATGTACAGAATATATGTGCCCAATTTCAAGATAAGAACAAGTGAGATGCCGAGGAATCATATGAGTTATTTGATCTGCCTGGTATGGTCATTTGGTCTATCTGCAGTATCTCTGTATACATAGTTCTCAGACTGCTTTTACTTTTACATCAAATTTGATCTGCACCAACCTCTCCAGGAAGGGTGTTTGTATCTTTGCTTACATTGAGTCATTTATCAAGAAATAAAGCAACTTCGTCAAGGTCAGATAGCAAGATAACAACTAGAAACTCCATCTTTACATTTCAGCCGCTGCTCTTCCTGTTACATCATTTTCTCTGTCATATGCCTTCTGGTCTCCCTCACAGGTCTCTCTTTCCTGTGTATGGTAACAGTGAAGATCTCATGCTGTCAAATAAAAGAATGATACACTTTTGTGACCATCATGCAAAGTCTGGTATAGTTGGTGTCAGAAACCAGACGAAATATTCTTACGATGGCCCCTCTAATGAAGAGATGGGTCCTGACTGGGTTTCATTTTGGCTACTGGTGCACATGGTGGCACACACCTGTAACCCCAGTGCTCTGGGAAGCTGAGGTAGAAGGACTGCAAATTCCAGCCCAGCCTGATCAGTCTAGCAACTTAGTGAAACCCTGTTTTGATAGAAAGAAAAAGAAAGAAAGAAAGAAAGAAAGAAAGAAAGAAAGAAAGAAAGAAAGAAAGAAAGAAAAGGAAGGAAAGCAGGCTGTGGATGTAGCTTAATGGGAAGGCCCTAGGTTTAATCTTCAGTACCAAAATGAAGAAAAAATCTTGGCTACTTTGTGGTGTGATCCTGGGCTGGTTACTTACCTTAAGGCTGGGAAGATAAGGGAAATAATTCTTAGAGATACTGTGAGATGTCAAGGAGTATTTTACATAAAGTGTTTAAATAAGTGCCTCGTGGAATGCTTTACTTAACTCACTGTTCCATTTTCCTGTCTCCCCTTCTCTGCTTCCCTTCAGCATGAGCCGCACAGCCTACACTGTGGGAGCTTTGCTTCTCCTCTTGGGGACCCTGCTGCCAGCTACTGATGGGAAGAAGAAAGGGTCCCAGGGTGCCATCCCGCCTCCAGACAAGGCCCAGCACAACGACTCGGAGCAGACCCAGTCACCCCAGCAGCCCGGCTCCAGGAACCGCGGGCGGGGCCAAGGGCGGGGCACGGCCATGCCTGGCGAGGAGGTGCTGGAGTCCAGCCAGGAGGCCCTGCATGTGACTGAACGCAAGTACCTGAAGCGAGACTGGTGCAAGACCCAGCCACTGAAGCAGACCATCCACGAGGAGGGCTGCAACAGCCGCACCATTATCAACCGCTTCTGCTATGGCCAGTGCAACTCCTTCTACATCCCCAGGCACATCCGGAAAGAGGAGGGCTCCTTTCAGTCTTGTTCCTTCTGCAAACCCAAGAAATTCACCACCATGATGGTCACACTCAACTGCCCCGAACTGCAGCCACCCACCAAGAAGAAGAGGGTCACACGTGTGAAGCAGTGTCGCTGCATATCTATCGATTTGGATTAAAGGAACACACACACCTGTCCTGAGGACACAGCCCAGGGCATCATAGAGCCAGACCCAAACACCCTGATTCCTACTCTGCTTAAACCTAGAGGCCAGAAGAACCAGCAGCCGCCTCTTGGCAGGAGTCTGCTTGTGCATAGTTGAGTATGTGTGCCCACGTGCATGCGTAGGTGCGTGTGGGTGTCTTCAGACATCAGAAGAAGCAGTCTCTGTTATACTTCGCTTCACAACAGGAGGATGAAAATGCCCACAGCAACCCCGTCCACACGCACAGGGGCAAGGCTGTGGTCCGGATCTGTTCTTGTCTTTCCTGTGCCCTCCTGGGGACAGGATTTTCTTTCAGAAGGAATGTCAGTGGCACAGGCCAGCACAAGGGACCTGTGTTCCTGCTGCATTCAATTAAGAAACTTTAACCTGCGCTCACTTTTTCCCTTCCTTTTCCCACCCACAGTCCATCCTTAGGTTCTCAGTGGCCGTTTTGTCTCATCCCAATTCTTCCAGGGTTCCTACATTACTTTACTTGACCATGGGTGTGAATGTTTTTCTTCTTGTGACGACCCTCTAGACTAGGGGTGGGGGCCACTGATGTGACGATGGACAAGCAAGACAGAAATGTGACAGAGGCAGTGTTAGATCCACTTGAGGGCCAATCTGGGTCAGCAGAATTCAGCCGGGAATATTCAGAGACCTGGGAGGCCCACTGCAAAACAGTGGGAGCCAGGCTTCAGTGGAAGGCTTTTCCTGATATTTAAGAGAACCCAAGTGAGTGGACAACAAATAAAATTGCCCCCCAAATCATTGACTTTAGGTGTTATTGTGATCTCTTGAAACTAACTGTAATCCAACACTAATCTTAAAACTTAAACATTGCCCACTCCTATTTTTAGAACCAGAACCAAGTAATGAATAAATCGAAAGAGCTCCTTCTCTACAGAGAGATAAGAAAGAAGAACCTCATAAATTGAGGTCCTAACATCTTTTCTTTTCCTTGATTATAAGCACTTTTTCCTCAGTTTATTATTTCTGCATAACACTTCAGAGAGCCACAACCATGTATGATAAAAAGTTCCATCTCTGCTGAGTATACCTGACAATAAAGGATAGTCTGAGAGGAGAGGGTTTATCTGACCCATTTTACCTAGAAGTCCATTTGGGTCATTTCATTTTAGCTATTGTTAGATTGAGCCCAAGAAAAGTAATGGGAATTTCATCTCACTAAGTAGGGGTTGTCTCTTGAAATCTGGAAGAAGATATGTGGATGTGATCTCCCTTTCTCCCTTTGCTCTCTGAGGGTCTACAGAGAAATCCCATTGAGAACACAGAGCACTGGGTATCTTAGCTGTCCATGTTCATCCCAGGGTATCCAAGTGACACTGCAACTATTATGTGCCTCCTGGAGGTCTGTTCCTCTGATTAAACTTGGGCTGCTTGCTATCTCTATTTCGAATTTTTCTAACAGCCAAAGTGCAGGGTGGGTGAGCCTTATTGCACTCTGGATTTGGCTAAGCTGTTCTCTTCAAGCCTGAGGTTCTATATGTAAATGCCTCAAATACCTTCTTAATTTTTGTCTTTATCGTCTCAGCTTCACTAGCCAAGTCATGGGTCACTTGGAAAACAAACGTCCCAGATTTAGATTTCAGTTGCTTATCAAGGCTCCAGCTTTCAAAGAAGCATTGCAATTACTATTCTCCTTTTTGTTTCGGTTTTGGTCTAGTGCTCTCCCATCTGACAACTAAATAGGAACCATGCTTCAAGAGAGCAGTTATCTTCAACACCCAGAATAGGTCTCTTCTTAAAACTTTTAAATTCACTACTGATAATTGTGTACTAGGTGAATTTATGAACACACAGTCTGTGCATTTTGTATACACTGTATGACCCTGCCCTGAATCTTTGTGTCACCCACACCCTCCAGCAATAAAGCACAGGATGGGTTTCATTAAGCATACAAATGTGAAGGCACAATTTTGAGGGTTCAGGAGAGGAAAAGAAAGGAGAAAAGCTGAAAATGTAAAACCACACCAGAGAGGAAAAATGACATTCAGAACCAGCAAACACTGAGTTTGTCTTCTTTTAATTCTGCCACAAGCATCCGATTTTGTTAAAGAGGGATGGCTTAAGTTGGCAGGAGCAGTCTTTTAGAAGCTTGTAGCGTGGTCTTGCATTAAGTCAGATTTGGCTGAAGTGTAGAGAATTTCTTCAAAATTAATTTCACTGGAATAATCAGTAGCATAAAAATCCTAAAAGCACACCACAAGCCAAAGAGGGAAATGTCTGCTTTTCTTACTGTGCCTATTTTAAGACACAACTGTGGTGTGTCTTCCAACATTTATTGAAAATGCCGTATCTGTTACTTACTTTATTGCAGTCACTAATGATGTCATAGCATACTTGCTTTTTTCATTGTTACAATAGAATTCTTTAATGGCAAGATAGATTTGATCTTGTCCTTACCTATTAAAATAATGCCAAACACCAAATATAAATTCTATGATGTACACTTTGTGCTTGGCATTAAAAGAGAAGAACGCAGCCTGTAATCTGTAAGTTGTCTTTTGTTACTGTAGTGCTTCAAAGTTAAAAGTTGTAATGAAAATTCTGGAGGAAAGGGTAATTTCCACTGTGTGGAATGTGAATAGTTAAGCAAAAGTTATGGTTATTTAATGTAATTATTAATTCGAATCCTTTGGTCACTGTGATTTCCAGCATTGTTTTTCTTCCTTTATATGATTTCTTCTGAAGTGGACAAAGAGGAAGCTGGCGCGTTGTATGTTGTTGGAGACTTCGGTCAGGTCGGAGGGAATCACAATCTTGACACATGCAAAGATACGTTAGAGTCAAGAACTGAGCATTTATTTCTTTTAATTGAATGTTCCTTAAAGGTTAACATTTTAAAGCAATATTAAGAAAGACTAAGTGTTATTTTGGGAGACTTATGATGTGTGTACAAAGAGCAGAGAATGGACGGTTCACAAATAGTCCTTTTAAAGAGAAAAAGTAAAATGGAAAACGCATGGACAGAACTTTGCTAAATGACCAGTTGATGCTTAAGAGTGAAAGTAGTTTTATTGATTTGTCATTCCTCAAGATATTTAATATCATCTGTGTTATATATTATGTTTGCTTTAATCATTTAAAAAGAACAAAAATTATATACACTATGATCTAAATACCTTGTTGTGTATGAGGGTGAATGGGGATTTAATAGTTTCATAAAATTTAATTTGGCGTAAAGTTTTATGAATCTGTAACTACAATTTAATTTCACCCCAATAATGTTTATATAACCTTTGCCAAAGAGCAACCAATAAATTAAGCCTCTTCTTTATGTGTGTGTTTCTGCTTTATCTTGTGGGAAGGGAAGTGGAAGTGAGATCCTGTTTGATTTTAACAGGATAGCTCAGGCTGTGGCAATTAGAGGCAAGGGCATGCTGGTCTGCACTCGAAAGGGCCAGCCTGCTCCCCAGGGCACAGCTGCAAGGAAGAGCTAGATGGAGTGAGGAGGGAGTACTTCAGATAGTGAAAGTGTTGTCTAGGAAATGGTTATAGCTTTACCTCTAGAGAAACACCAGGAGAAAGATTTCGGACCCAATAGGAGGAAGAGCTTTCTAGCAAGAAGAGTGATTGAGCAAGCATGAGCTGCTTTTAAGATGGTAAACTTCTTGTCCTAGGAAACCTTTTAAACATGCTAGATATCATTTCAGAAGAATGTAAGGTAAACTGAATTATTGTCCTGAGTACAGATTTAAAGTGGATTTTTGAGCTTTCTTCTCAGTTAGCCACATGATGTTAGAAAGTATGGATTCTTTGACAATAAAAACAGTCCCAGCAATTGTATGTGCAGTGTTCATGGAGCACACTGCTAAGGGTTTTATTTGAATTATTTCTTATATAATTCTCAGGATAACTCAATAAAGTATGTAACATATTATCACTGCTAGGGAGTGATGAATGCATATGGTCTTACGCAGCACTTGGCCCAAGTACTCTGTAAAACTGTAAGATTTTCAACTTGTATTGGTTTGTTTTTTTAAAGGCAGAAAACATTATGCACAATGGAATACTACTGTGCTATAAAGCAGGATACACTTGAACCATTTGTAGCAAAATGAATGCACCTTAAGTCCATAATGTTAAGTGAAATAGATCAGACAAGCTTAATCATCACATTGTTTCTCTTATATGATAAAACCTAAGTATAAATCATTTAAAGACCAAAGTAAAATACAGATAATAAGAAACAGGGAGATACACCTTTTGCACATGAAATGGGGACCCAGAGATGGATGGCAGGGGGAGGGAGGGGAGACAAAAGGGAAATAAAAAGAACTCAGATGTGTTATGTGCAGGTACCAGCTCGCCACAATGAACACAATCATTAAGTACAGCAAATATGTACTAAAACTTACAGAAAACAGACCTGTGAGAACAGATCTGACTACTGATCATTCACATCTAATGACTAAGGTTATTTTGCGGTTGCAGTTGGCATTGTCAGGAGCCCAAGCTCCAGAAACATTTAGGCAAAGCCTCTTTGCCACATCTCTTTCTGCTATGGCCTCTTTGAGTTTGGAGGGGAAAAGTGGAAGAAAACACCAAAGGGATGATGGCCACAGGAAAACCACTCCCAGTACATAACATCTGATTAAGGACTGAAAGGCAAATAGAACTTGATACATAAGGTACCCCAGCCTCAAATACCAAACCAAACCAAACAAATAGGCATGTAAGAAGATATCGGCAACAATGTCGAATGAAGACCTATCTTGAAAATTCTGTCTGAAAAACTATTGAGGTCTTGTTAAATTAGATTCAGCCTCCTTTTTTGAATTCTGGAAATTAACTGAAGACTGTAGCAATTTAGGGAAGAATTAGTCAAGGAAAGGACTGAATATTTGTAAGAACAGTGAACATAGTGATACTGTAACTCATCTTTCTCTCTCCTCTCCTCCTCCACAGTGGAGTTCAACCAATATCCCACAGACATAGTGAAAGCCAGCAGTCTGATAGTCACTGGTGCAGGATGGGATTGGAGTTCTCTAAAAGTCACATTCTCAAAGAATTGTCATTATTTCACCTGTTTGCCAGGCCTAGAGAGCCCATTTGAAAGAATCTTAATTTAATCCAATTAGAAGTTCCCCAATGTGAAAAAACTTTCTTGAAACAATTGGAGGTAACTCTCTTTGTGGGTGTCTGAATTAGTGGAAAACATTTGGGGACAGCAATAGGCTAAACAGACAGCATAATGGGAAATGCCTGGGAGTGAGATTTCCACAGGGGGTTTGCAAAGTTCCAACATGTTACCAGGAATGAGAAGGCCAAAGGCATGCATAGGACTCTATGCATAGGACTGTTAATTGGTTCAGAAAGATCTGAGAAGGTCCCAAGCTCTCACTTCATGCTAACCTTGCTACCTTGCATAAGCAGGAAGTGAATGCTAAGACAGAGCTGTCAAGCTCCTGGCTGAGTGTTTAGGGACCTCTTCAAAATCCATACAGAGCACCTTGGCAAAGACTGATAGACCCAGGTGCTTGAGAATCATTATTAGGTAACAACTACACTAACCAAGCAGAGACTTCAATGGTGACACAATAAAAAATAAAGATTTTTCAGGATTAGATCAGAAAAGTCACTAAACATAGAGAAATCTCAAAGGGCAACAACAATAAAACCTGCACAACAGCAAGAGAGACTTATTTCAAAAAATTGTCATTTTATCTTCCTTAAAATGCCCAGTTTCCCACAAAATATGAGACGTGAAGAAATAACAAAATATAGCCCATTTATAGGGACAAAAGGCAAATGAGGAAACAGTCCTAAAAGAAATCCAGGCATCAGACTTATAAGACAAAGACTAAGCTCTTCAAATATGTTCAAAAACTACAGCCACTAAATAGTTTCATTTACTTATTCAAAATGGGGGTTTGCCATGTTGTTCAGGATGGCCTTGAGTTCCTACACTCAAGCAATCTTCCTGCCTCATTCTCCCAAATGGCTGGGACTACAGATGCATGCCACTATACTTATGCCTAACAAAGAAGCCATTTCTAAATAACCAAAGGAAAGTAGGAGAATACGCCTACTTGTGAATACCAATAAAGAGATAAGAATTACATAAAAGAACCAAATAGAAATTGTATTCAATCAAGTTTGAAAATATAATATCTAAAATTAAAAAAACTCAGGTGGGAGAGCTCAACAGTGGATTTGATCAGGTAAGAGAAAATTGATAAACTCAGAGAGAGAGAAAAAGAGAGGGAAGAAAAGAATGTGTATGTGAGTGTGTGTGCATGAACAAGAGAAAGCTCTACTAAAATCAGAAATGAGAGCAGACATCACCACTGACCTCACAGAAACATTATAAGGAATATTATTAATTACTGTATAAAAACACAGTAGATGACATAGACAAATTCTTAGTGTAACAGGGAATTTGGTTTTATTTTTTGATGTTTGATACTGACATATTTGAAGCCTCCTCCATCCCTCTCCTTCTTCTGCCCCACATCTAGGCAAACTAACAAGGAAGCCCAGACTGCTTCGTGTGGGAGTGATGGCATAATCAGACCATGCAAGCCCTTGCTTATGTGGGAATCTTTATCTAAGTCTCCTGGTTCTCTTTCTTTGCTCTCTCAAGCCATTTTCTGAGGAGGCTGATGGTTATTCTTTGTCCTCAGCAGAAAGCCTCATTATGTGAACAATAAACACTTTCACACTTCGGGGGTGAAAATGCATCATTGGTTTGAACATCTGAGTCAAATTTGGGCTGGGGCCCATATTGCTTATGCAGGTATGAACATACCTTTAAATACTCAAATTATCAAAAATGACTTAAAAATATCTCAATAGAATACCATAAGTTAAAGAAATTGAATTAGAAATTTTAAAAAACTCTCTACAAAATAAAGCCCAGAGGAGGATATTCTCACTGGTTTTATCAAATATTTAAAGAAATTTGCACAAATTCATCACTAACTCTTCTCCCTAAATAAAAGAAGAGCTAACACTTTCGACTTCATCCTGTAAGGTCAGTATTACCCTGATACTAAATCCAGATAAATATATCACAAAATAGAACTACATACTAACATCTACTATGAATACACATACAAACGCCTTCAATAAAATACTAGGTACTTGAAGTCAGCAGCATATAAAAAAGATTGCACATCCAGTGGATATACTCACAAATTAAAGGTTGGTTTGAACATCAATTAATATCATACATCGCATTAGTCGAATAAAGGGAAGAAACCACATGTCCAGGTTCATAGATGTGGAAAAATTATTTAATAAAACTTAACACCCTTTCATGGTAAAAAACTGCTCAACATACTAGGAATAAATTTCCCTAGCCCGATAAATGGCATCTATGAAAATGCCACTCTGATACTACACTGAAGACTGAAAGCTTTCTCTTCTAAGGTCAGAAACTAACAGGAAATCTGCTTTCATTACTTCTATTCAACATCGTTCTGGCAATTTTATCCAGGGAGGGTAATTAGGTAAGAAGAAAAAGAAACTTATTTAGGTTGGTAAAGAAGTAACAATATCTGTATTTTCAGATGGCATTATTTTATATGTAGAAATCCTAAGGAATCCGAAAAAGAGCTATAGGAGATGAATTCAGTAAAGCTGTAGGACACAATATTGATGCACAAAAATTATTCATACTCTATACACTAGAATTAGAAAATATGGAAATGAAATTGAGAAAATAATTCCATTTACAATAGCTTCAAAAAGAAGCAAATATACAATGATAAATATATTTAAGAAAGTTTAAGAGTTGTACATTAAAAAAGTATAAAACTTTGTTTAATGAAAGTAGAGAATGCTTAAATAAGTATAAACACAGCATGTGTGCCTATACCCAAACTCAACAGTTTGGTCTGAGAAAAAATAAAGGTCTGAATTAAGGAAGTCCAAAGCTCTTTCTATAACCTAGAAGGAGATTGCCCTACCCAATTTCTTTTGTTGCACCTATTAGTTTTCTGAGCAGAGGTAAAATAATGCATAGTAGGACAGGTGACATCAGCCAGGTTGTAGCTTAGGAAGCCCTTCACTTTCCTCCCATAAAAACACCAATTAATAAAAATCATGGACAAATTCCCCTCGTGAGAAATTTAAAAACTCATTGAAAGTGTCTTGCACCCTAAGGAAATGCAAAACCCATTGCTGATCCTAAATTTCTTAAGAAAATGCAAGGGACCCAGAACAGCCAAAACAATTTCAAAAAAGGATGATTTGGGACACTGTCTTGCCATAGCTTCTGCTCCCGCACAGCTCCATACAATCAGGAAGAGAGCCTCCGGGTTCCAGCTTCTC